TTATCTGCTACGCAGACTGACGCACTGCTGGGGCACGGGTTTTTTTATCGGCGACAGCCATTTCTCTGTACGCCCTGCATTCACCAAACAACTACAACTCCATATCTTTGATGTCCCGATCTGGATCGAGAATACCGTTATCTGCAGTGCTTTGGCTGCATTTGGCCAGATCCAGGGAGACATCCGCCATGGTCAAATTCAAACCCCGTCGGGGATTACTGTAGGGACAGGTATGCGATTCACCACCATCGAGCTGAAGGAGGGATGTCGGCAAGTTCCGTCATTTGTCCGCACAGCCGACCAGCACCAGTTTCGTGTCCGTCACGAGGACCAGAGGGCCACCTGCAGGATCTGCATGGGGGAGCACTTTGCTCGATCGTGTCCGAGCAAGCGGCCCACGAACAAACCACCCACAAATACACAGAGCACCAATTCGGCTGCACTCCCTGGATCACAATTGAGCTCGGGTACAAGTGCGCCCGATGCAGGAGGTAGTGAGGCTGTTGTGAGTGCTAGTTCAGGTAGTAGCTGTACAAACACGGACCCCAGCGCGGAGCCCGAGAGCTCCAATCAATCCAACAGCTCAGCACGCACGCGCACAGAGCCCAAGGGTTCACACTCGTACGCCAGCGCAGCTCAACAGGGAGCCCGCGCACAGTTCAACTGTACGCACGGGGCGGCCGAACAGGTGAGCACTGCACCCGACGGATCCCCTGCTCGTACTAGTACTAGTAGCAAGGATGCAACACAGAAAACCGCTGAAATGAACAGCGCCAGTGCGTCTGAGAACACAACCAGCGACGGCGAATCCAAGGAAATACAGAGCAATACTCCATCCTCTGTCGACCAAACTGAGGTAGCTGAGAGTTCCAGCTTGCAGGTAATCGCTCCCAGTACACCCCCAATGTCCGGCACCCCTCCGCCTACAGGCACTGGGGCAGGCCACGACGACGGGGCCACCACGACGGGGCCACCACGGTTGCCTCTGACGATGCGGATTGGATACCCAGCGGTCCTCGTCGTCGCCGACACAGCCACGGTCATTCGACCATGGAGGAGAAAGCCAAGGCCGATGGGACATGGCCCTCCCCTCAGAGGAAACACCCGAAATACTGAGTCCAGATAAGTTTCAACAACTAGCCAAAAGACAAAAACATAAAAATAAAAATAAAAATTTCCCCCCAAAAAAAAACAATACCAATGTCAGTGAATTTGAACTTTCTCAGCACCAATGTGCGTTGCATATTCAACAAAATGGACGAGTTACTTACCTTTACCCGTTCGTGCTCTGAATCTCAGAACGAACTATCAGTCATTGCAGTCCAGGAAACCTGGGCTGACACATCAGACCCTGACAGTCTCTATGCAATCCCAGGCTACAAGCTGATCAGAGCTGACAGACAGGACTATGGTGGTGGTGTTGCCTTGTACATAGCGGAACGTTTCAACACAAGGGTACTGCCAATACCAATGACAGCAGCAGAATGCATATGGACGAGAATTTCCACCAGTAACCTTTCCCTCGTTGTTGCAAACATTTACCGACCACCCCGTAGCGATGGCACCCTCTTCTGTGCGTAACTGGAAAGAAGCATCAAAACCGCTAGAGCCGAAGGTGACGACCTCCTACTACTTGGAGACTTCAATGCCAAGAACAGTGCGTGGCTCACCACAGACAGAACAGATCGCCTTGGGGACGACATACAAACTCTGCTACACACATACGGCCTCACACAACATGTCAGATTCCCTACTTACATCCACCGACAAACACCTCTCTCATGTCTAGACCTTGTTATCTCCTCACTCCACACCAATGATATTCATATCCAATCACTTCCACCGTTTGGCGCATCCGATCACACTACTATCAGTGGCCACATCAATAATCAACTGCCCCCCATAATTAACAACTCCCCTCCACGATCCAGAAGCACCACATTCTGGTCATGGACAGACAGCACTATCCACCTTCTTCGAGAAGCCCTTTCACGTACAAATCTCAACCACCATCCAAACCAACACGACCCATGCCCAGTTGACACCTTCTGGCGATCCTGGCGCGACAATGTCCTGAGCATCGCCCAAGAACACTGCCAAGTTACTCGCACTCACCCCCCTTGGGACAGGAAGAACGTGCCAGCACGACCATGGATATCAAAGGGCCTCTTGAAAGAGATCAAGGATAAGCACAGAAAACACAGAATATACCTTCACTCACGCTCGCCTGACGACTGGAACACGTTCACTGCCCAAAGAAACCGTGTCACCACCCTCCTGCGTCGTGCTAAATCGGATTTCGTAAACAACTCAACAGCCTCCTCTACTTCCCTACACCGCCTCATGAAGCACCTAACTACAGCTACAAAACAACGCATACCCGAACTCGTCAGCCAAGCAACTCCTGCAACGACACCAGCACAAAAAGCCGCTGCCCTCAACGAATTCTTCATTTCACAGAGCAAGCTGTCCGTGGCCACTGCGGATGAGCAAACTCCAGCCATCAACACCACCCCTGACATCCTCAGTCCCCTTCAAGAAATCTCGACTTCCCAAGCTGAGGTCGAAAAACTCCTCTGCGGAGTTGATACCAACAAAAGCCCCGGGTTTGACTCTATTCCAAACCGCCTACTCAAAGAAGCGGCTAAGGAACTTGCACCGTCGTTATCGTCCCTCTTTAATCTATCGTTCCAAACCGGAGAAATCCCACAGGAGTGGAAAGATGCCACCATTACTCCAGTACCCAAGCCGGGTGACCCAACCCAACCAACAAATTATAGACCCATCTCTCTCTTGAGCACTACATCAAAAATCCAAGAAAAAATTGCACATCAACTCCTCTACAAGCACATCACACCCCACCTGCCCAACCAGCAGTCCGGATTCCGCGAGAAAGACGGCACTGAGCAGCAGCTCGCCCGTCTCGTCCATACCCTCTCCACTGCGAGAGACGACGGGAAACACGTCAATGCCTGCTTTTTCGATCTAAGCAAGGCCTTCGATCGTGTGTGGCATGCAGGCCTTCTAGCAAAACTCTCCCACTATGGTGTCCAGGGCAACGCCCTGGAGTGGTTCCGACGGTACCTGTTGGGGCGTCGGCAAAGGGTCCAGGTGGATGGCGACCTATCGCCTTTCCTCGAGATCCCTGCCGGCGTCCCTCAGGGATCTGTTCTTGGGCCGCTTCTATTCCTCGTCTACACCATAGACCTTCCACACGCATGTGAGAATCCCAGCACCACCTGTAGCCAGTTTGCAGATGACACCGCTCTGATTTCCATAGCGAGAACTCTTCAAGACTGCACCCGAAACCTACAACAGAGTGTCACAGCAGCTGGAGACTGGCTTCAAAGATGGCACCTGCTGGTTAACACAAAGAAAACAGTCATCCTCCCGTTCTACCACAATAACCGCCCCCCTGAACAGCTACCCCAGATCACCCTCAGGAATAGTCCGCTTACCGTAGCACAAAAACACAAACACCTCGGAATAATCTTTCAGCATGACCTCCGTTGGACGGAGCATGTTGAATACATAGTCAAAAAATCACTCAAGTCTTTCAATATTCTTTTTAGACTAAGGTCTACACTCACCAGTGATTCTTTATCTCACATCTATCAGACATACATACTACCTATATTCTCATATGCGAGCAATGCGCTCACACCGTTGTCCCACACTTCCCTTGACAGGCTAGAACGACTCCAGCGGAAAGCCGCCAGAATACGTCTCCACCTTCCCCTTTACACACACTTAGAACACTCCCACCTTTTGCATCGCATCAAATGGCCAACATTATTTTCACGCTTTAAAGTTAAACATATACTCTTCGCGCATTCTCTGCGCCACAATTATGCCCCACCACATATACTCTCGCTGACCGCTGTCTCCATTCTCCCCTGTACAAGGCCCTTCATTACTTTAATTGCCTGCCCACCCAGCTTCGCGAAATCCCTTCTCGTACTCCCTTCAAATCCGAGATATCCCTGCTGTTGCACAACTCTGTATGCTCGTGTAGCGACCACCCCTGCCCGTACACTTAAGTACGCAACTCTGTATGCTCGTGTGGCGACCACCCCTGCCCGTACACTTAAGTAGTCATTAACCCCTAGGCCCTGCCCACCCAATTCTTCCTCACTCTTTCTCCTTTCTTACACTATAATCTCTTATTGGCCACTGGCTATCGTGAGAATAAAGATTTGAAACAACAACAACAACAATAACAACAACAACAACAACAACAATGGTTGAAAGTACATGAAGGATTTAATAAGTGACAACATGGCGTTAGGGTAACACAGGTGGAGTTTGGGTCCTTCGCACCACTGCTCTTCGCTACAAACGGAATGATGGCTCCGGAGTGCTTGCAGTCTGTAAAGGTGTTGACTCACAGAATGGTTGAAAAATACCGGTAAACAGCGACATACCTTACAGTATGGGTATATATGTACATGTACTGGTTTCGTGACTTCCTTGCAAGCTTGCAGTGCAGCCTCCTTCGAATTCCTTTTCGTTCATGTATGGCGGCAGGTCGTCCTACCCACGCTGTCAATGTGGGCCCAGTCTGGAGGTGGAGTGTCGCTTGAACAGGCGCTCAACGCATAACTTAAACTATGGTATGTATGTATGAATGGATGGATTCCTTATTTGAATTCCCACGTAAACGAAACTTTTAAATAATGCTAAAAACCTCTTGAAGTTAGAGTAATCTAGGCAGTGTGCAGCAATTATTTGCAACATGTGTCTGGCCATAGTCTTCAGAAAGGGACATGCGATATCTAAGTCAACATTCACAGCCTACGTGATAAACTCCCTATTGCCATCCCTACTGCCTCAGCAAGCAGCTAAACTTTGATCTCTCTGTATCTGATCCCCGTGCCTGTAATTATTTTTCTCTTATTGGCCACAGGCCATCGTGAGAATAAAAGATTTCAAACATTGGAGTTGGTAGGGGGCTAGTCAGACGATTAATTCAGATACACATCAGCTGAACTGCTTTGAAAAAGTGATGTTCTCCCCGTAGAGTCAATGATGAATGATTCCGATTTAGCAGGGCGTAGTAAAATATCTCCTTGATTCTTAGCATTACTGCATAACCCCATGGATACACTAATTCACCCAATTTCAGCGAACACAATATCAATTATACAAAATAGAAGAAAAACACTTGGGAACGAGTTATGAAGCAACTATCCACGACTGTAACAAGATAATAAGCAGTCAGAAAGTGACAAAAACTGACAGGTTACTGGTGTGTTGCTTTGCTGCTTCAAATTGTAGTTAGACCGCATTGTCGTGTTATTTGAAACTGGTCTCATTATCGTCCTGTAACATTCGGCATTCTTTCTTGCCATGGGACTATAGCTTGTGCACGTTTTCGCTGCACTCACCTTCACCTCTTCGGTCTTACCTAACCATGAACCTTCGAAGTCGGAAGGCTCAGGTTGGTTTGTGCACTGGAGATGTGTTAGAGCTTGGTCTCAGGTCGATAAATGTCTCAGCAGCCTGTCAGTTTTGTGCACTATTATTGCACTTTCTGACTGCTCATTGTCTTGTTACAGTCGTGGATAGTTGCTTCATAACTCGTTCCCATGTGTTCTTCTTCCATTTTTACATTTCTTATTGGCTCAGTATCCGATTTAAATACGATATACATACAACATACTTTTTTTCACGCGCACCCATGTATGGCCAGACCCTGCTTGAAAGGCGAATCCACTGGGGACACAAAGGATGGAGAGGGCGACCACTGAAATAGCAGCTACATAATATAGCGTCGCCATCTTTGTACCTGTCCACCAAAACACACACACACACACACAAATGCAGACGGCCGGTCAATCAGGCAGACATACAGAAAAAGATAGACAGTAGCAAAGCAGAATGCTTGCGTTGTCGACTTGTCCTAAGACCGGTATGTCCAATAGACTTACTAGTTTCGTCATCGTCCAGTGACATTCGGTATTCTTTGCTGCCTTGGAACGCGGACTGTGCTCATCTCATTTGAACAGTCAGACGTGCGCAAGGTAGCACCAGACTGGCAAGGAGTACCAATATGACAAGGTTTCAGAGCTGACCCGTTCTCTTCCCATTCACGCTGCAAACTCGAACTCGTTTCTCAATCAATTATTACAACGTTTCGGCAAAATTGCCCTCATCAGGTATGCAATGGTGTGCAAGTTTGCAAAGGAGCAGTTATATACATATAGTTATATGATAATAATGTTGGAGAGTGAATGGGAAGAGACGGCAGGTCTTTTCCTATGAATGAAGTTGCAGGAAGGCTCACCACTGCTACTAAATATGACAAGAATCGGATATACAATGTACCTCAGCCATTACCGGTAAACTGCCTGCGGATATTTTTCACCCAGAATCCCAGACGTTTGGCATAGAAATAACTACCAACATTGTACCTGTATCTTCTCAAGTTGTCAAATCCTCCTGAAATTGTGTAGCAGTTTTTCAATTCTTTCAATAATAATGAATGATCCTACTAGAACTACCACCACGCCTGAGATGTGTTATAGAAAGTATAGATCTACTAGTATGCACTGTATGGCAGTTGTACAGCTTCAGTTGGCTCCATCAAAAACTTTTCAAGTATTTTCACTTGACCTGCACATAGCCCTTTCCCAAAGGTGCTCGCCCTTTTTTCGCCCTTTTTGGACCTTTTTGGAAAAGCCCGTTTCTTTCGCCCTTTATTGCGTTTTTTTGGTGAATATCGCCCTTGTTGAGCTTTTTTTAGCTGAAAAAGTGCTAAAATCTGTTTGCTCATGCATGCGATCACAGTTTCCGCGTGCTCGATGGGCCTTAGCATGCCACTCTTTGGGGGGGGGGGGGGGCAACAAGTTGGTGAAGCTTGTACACAATGCTGTAAAAAGTGGGTTTTTTGAACTTTACTTCCTGTTTTGCCTTTCGTGGACCCATAAATGGAAGAGTGCGTATTCATTTCTCAGCTTGGGTTCAAACATGCATCTGAACATGTATCATGGCTATGTTTCACTGAAAAAAGAGCACTTTATAGAATTTGTAAAAAGGCGACGTGGAGACAATAATCTTAATAATGCAATGAATATAACTAAATGCGCACTCATATCACAACCATGGGGACGAATCATGTATTCCAGAACGTTTTCTTGTCACAATTATCAATGGAATTCGTGACTAAAGAGAATGATGAAACTACAATAGGATTTATACACTTGCAGTGGAACAGCGAGGATACAAGCATAGTAAGAAAAATAGCACAAACCTAGGAATAATTTGCACAGGTAATAAACCTAGGTTTGTGCTATTTTTCTTACTATGCTTGTATCCTCGCTGTTCCACTGCAAGTGTATAAATCCTATTGTAGTTTCATCATTCTCTTTAGTCACGAATTCCATTGATAATTGTGACAAGAAAACGTTCTGGAATACATGATTCGTCCCCATGGTTGTGATATGAGTGCGCATTTAGTTATATTCATTGCATTTTATAGAATTTCTTAGCATATTTTGAGGGACGCGAAAAGCACTAAGTGCGAATTAAAAGAGCACCTTTGCCTTGCTTTGGGAAAGGGCTACCTGCACAGACGTTATAATATGGACAGGGTTGTCAGGTTTTGGTGGGTGTTGTGATAGTTGCAGATGATGATAGGGAAAGTAATAAAGAAGTGTTGTATACAGAAGAAGTACAAAGGCGCCATGCACAGATGCCTGTGATTGATGAAGAGTGCCGCCACAAGTTGGATCATCCGAGACTTTAAGTTTAGAGCGTAAAATACACCCTGGAATTGACTTACATATACATGTACATGCACCTGCTAGATATCCCTGCATGGGAAACACCTAATGAAACTCATTTCACCAAATATTTGTATACATGCATTACAGCATAATACAAGTAGGTTATATTATATCAAAGATATAAGCCTTTTATGCACGTTGTGCAGATGCACGAAATCCCGTAGAATCCCGTAGACCCAGTTGGGTGTTGAATGCGCAGGACTCTATTGTGTTTTCTGCTATTTCCACTAAGGAATGGGCCCTGAAGGCATTTCATACGAAAACTTGTTTCTGACAAAGATCTAGCTAGTCATTAGTTCTAACAAAAGTCCTGATGATGGCACCTGGCCGAAAATTTGATTGAGACATGAGTAATTTGCAGCAAAGAGACCACTTGATTTGAGAATGGTGTGTGTAGGGTTCTTGTAAGAAAGTGCAGACGCTGGAATAGCGATTGTTTGCCACTGATTATGAGGCTGAAATTGGTCAAATGGGCATGCATAGCACACAATGAACACGCAACCGGGTCTGCACAAACATATGGTCCTAGTAGAGAACTTCGTACATCTGCACAACGTGCATAAGGTCTATTGGACCCGCCTTGTTCAGAACTCGATGAAGAAGAGGCAATACTAACTTTTGTCCCGCCTAGCCCTAGGTAGATCGCTCAGAGAATGCACCAACGTGTGTTAACATGCCACTCAGGACACTTCATAGACTGTTCTTCACTTGCCTGCGGCGGGCTGATTGGACTGTTTGGTTCCAGGAATATTTCGACCCAGGAGAGATGACTCAGATGAGATCCCAGCAGGGCAGAAGTGGCTCAGATTTGCGTTCAAATGCCGAACACTTGCATCCAGTGACACACCGAATGTATTACATACATACACAATGTATAGGAAGAACGCTGCCGTCCGTAACGTACGGAATGTAATGCTAGTAATGCTAATGGCTACCAATGTCTAGTATTCTAGTATGTTCTACTACTTTTGAAGAAGGGCTGCGGCTTCTACTACTGCTCTACTACTACTACAATAATATAGATAACACTCACCTCGTCGTGGCCACGAGCGCGCGTAGAGATAGATTTTCAAAATAATTGGGTAAAACTCCAAGACACGAACGGTTCCATGAATGCTACCTTCGTACGATCGTGTCATTCCTTTTCGGGGGGAGAGGCGTGGTGACTCTGGTGCAGAAGCTGCAAGGCGCACGCGTAGCGCTGAACTTGGTAAATGGGGACCATGCGTCGACCAGGGCCGGGATCGTCACCCACCACATGAAGACGAGTGCATATATGGGTCTAGGCACTTATATGGTATGAGATCTAGCCTGTACGGGCGCTGAATCGGTGTGCTCCCACATCAGCGAAGTAGAGGATATAACCCGAGTCAGAGGGTTATACCGGCTGAATATAAATCCCGACTGCGATAGCAGCTAGCAGGATCTACAGGAGGGATTTATATGAGGGTACGGTATAACCCGACTAGGAGGGTCATATCCTACTTATGCCAGGTACCCCTACGCATTTCCAGAACAACGAACCTATTTGGAGATCTCGTACATCATGCAGTACATGAACATCTTCTGATGGTTATCAGTTGTCAATTTAAAGAATGGTCGAGCAACATCAGAAGGAGATTCCTCCGTGGATGTTTGGCATAAGATTTCCTTTCAGTTTCAGTGCATATTGTAGCATCTTCATGATCTTGTCTCGTGAGCGGTGCGGAAATCAACTGAATTGCTGGGGTGCTGGAGTTTGTCGTTGAATCAAACTACCATCACTAGTTAGATTACAGCTTGGACTCTTTGGGAGTAAGTGTTACTATAATTCTGGTACAGTGCTGATTTTAACATGCGGCATCTTATAATCAGTTTTGCTTACTACTTGCAAGTAGATGCATTTGCATACACTGTTTTGTGTCATTGTATCACATTTCAATCCAATCTAGCATTTTCCAATCAGGTTGAAGTACACTCTGTATTATAAACTTAGTTACGAAGGAGACAGTCTGTTGATGATCTTCAACTCTTCGAAGTACAATGTACATTGCTGACCCATTTGGGATACTTCGTGGTTATTCGACGTTCTTTATCCTCAGATTCAGTATAATAGAATACTCTGTAGACGATTTCCAGGTCATTCTTCTTTTCCATTGTGTACTGTTCCTCATCAGTGTGCCGTTCTGTGTGGAGTGTACACGTGCATGTGGTGTCTGTTGGGAATGGTCCGTGCGCTGGAGTACTGCCGCCGTACAAGTTCGCTGCCTTTCAGACAGTGAACTTGTCCGGCGGCAATGCCCTAACGTATTACCGTGCACCGAGATTTATATTTTTTATGTAGAAGAAAGTACAGCCTCTTGTACGGGCAAGAACAAAGTAATACAGCTAGCGTGTGTTGAAGAAGAAAATGAGCGGAAACGTACTATGCTGTGAAACACGCATGAGGCATGATCAGGGCGAATGACAGCTGAAAAGAAAAGGAAAGAAAACAAACACACACACACACACACACACTCACACACACACACACACACACACACACACACACACACACACACACACACACACACACACACACACACAACAACAACAACAACAACAACAACAACAACAACAACAACAACAACAACAAGTGCCATACGCATGAATGTTAACGGCCAACACCAAGGCCGACACCATTGCAAATTGCCAGCCCACTGAGACGACGACGTGAACCCCGGAGACGAAGGTCGACAGCCCGGAAAACAGCAAACTGATGGTGGATCCGCACCCAGGACATGACGTTGCTGTAGGACTTGTCCCACCTGGAGGCAAGGCGCATAGCAAGTCGCCGTTGATACGCACGGTACTCTGTGTGCAGTGCACCATCAGTTGAGCAGACCAGTGGGGTGAAGGATGCTCGCAGCTCCTCTGCGGCCGCCTTGTACTTTCTCTTCTTGGAAGAGGCAGCACTGTTGGATACGGCGTTCCAAGAGAGGTTCGAGCGGACGTAGCTGGGTGCGTCGGCATCCACGAT